TGATGTTTAAATGGCTGCCCCCGATGACCTGTACGAGCGCAACGAAAAAAATACGAAGACACAACTATCGCCACCTGTTTGTACACTCAGCCTCGTCCAGTTTCTTTGCGTACGTGCCTCTCTACTTCTGGAAGCAAGTCGTTCTGGAGACAAATCTCTATGCTACCAATCAAGAACGTACGAATCACCTCACCGCTCACTATGGAAGAGCTCATGATATTCCTTGGTGTCATGTTTTACATGACGCTGACTGACAAAGGGGAATACGCTAACTACTGGGGCCCACAAACCGAAGACGCCATCTTTGGTGACTCCTCAATGAGCCTCGACAGTGTCATGACTCTGAACCGGTTCAAATTGCTTCGTCGGTGTTTGAGTTTTCGTGCGAACCCTGGAACGTCTATGGAAAGTGATCCTGCTGCCAGAATTCGTCCGTTGCTAAATCTACTCAAGTCTACTGGTGGTCGATGCATTGAGCCAGGTCGTGACCTCGCTTTGGACGAAGCAAGTGTAGCGTGTCGATCACGTCAAGGACGTCGTCTCATTGTTTTCAATCCACACAAAACCAGGCGGCAAGTACCACTTTCGAATGTATGTGGTGTGTTGTGCAACAACATGGATTGCTCTGAATTACCGTCTCCATTGCAACAATAGTGACATTGCCGACCGGCTACAAGACTTGGCCAGTCCAGAAGAGGTTCAAAATCTTCGGGAAGAGGTTGAGAAAGTCAGCCAAATTCGAAAGCATGCTTTGGAGGTAGTGAGACTCTATTTCTACTCTCGTCGGATCATCAACATGGACAACTACTACACAAGCGTTCAGCTACTCTTGGATCTGCGGCTAAAAGGGTTGTATGGGAGGGGGACTGTTCGAAATGGAAGTAAACATTATCCGAAGCACACTGTTCTAGATAAGGACAACGCAACTCGAGGAGAATTTCAGCAGTCAGTCTCTGTGGAGCATAATTTGCTTGCTGCTTCTTGGTGCGATGGCAGCATTGTAACTATGGTGACTAATGCCGATGGATCTACCCCTACAACTTTGACGCGTCGGATTCGTGATGAGAGTGTTGAGTTTCCTGCCCCAACATGTATCCTACAATACAACCGGCACATGCAGGGCGTTGATCGCCTCGACCAGTTGCGTGCTAGATTTTCACTTGCAGACGGACACTCATACAAGCGGTGGCACAAAAAAATCGCTCTTGCTCTCGTGGATATAGCTAGGGTAAACGCATTTTTGACTCGGAAAATGGCAATGGATACATCTAAAGACCGGGACCCTCACAGAACTTTTATGGTTGAATTGATTTCAGAGTTGATTTCGGGAAGGTGGAAAAATGCACCTAGTGACGGTCGGATGGTATTCACAAGCCGTGATTCAACACCAGTGCCAGCAGAACCCGGTACCACCCACTCGAAGAGGCAATATGCTACGACAAGTGTTGAGCTCCCGCCAAACCGATGTGAGTCAATGTCCTCAAAGCAAGTGTTTCAAGAAAGTGGCAGAAGGAAGCGGCAATGCATTGTCTGTCGGTATGATGGAAGGTACCCTACGGAGGTGACAGATTACTGTTCTACTCACTTCGTGTGTCTATGCCGAGTTGTGCACGAGTATGTCGAGAGGCCGTTTACGTGTCCGCAGAGTACCTGGACGTGCTGGGATAAATTCCACCGATTCTATCTTCCGAACGGGCTCTTTAGCGAGAAAGGAAACGTGCGCAGGTCATCCGATCTAGCTAAGTTGAAGATGCTGTACGTGAGCAGTGCTGGTGACAGTGCAGGCGCCGATCACCAACCGAATTTCGTTGCTAGACAAACTTTTGAATGAATACTTCAATTCAC